AAGTTGCTCATCTGAGCTAGGCCTGTAGAATCAGATTCCTAAGTTGTGGTGTTGGCAGCATATAGGCTTAGTGTATTGGTGTTTCCCTCTGACACTTAACAGGGCTTTGTTAGTCGTAGCCAAAGTCTAGAGCACAATCTGGGTGGGCTTTAAGGGGGTGTTATATACCCCACTTTCATGGTTATTTGATACACTCCGTTTAAACAGTTTTGGTTTTCGAATGACCTATTCTCTATGGTTAGGAATGCAAAACACCTTCTGGGGACCAGCTAGGGAAAATGAGCCATTGAGTCCCAATTTATGCTCATATAACCGCACCCCGGGAGGAAATATACAGCGGACACAACCTAATTGGTGCTGAAACACTTTATTTTTGTTACTCTCTCCGCTTCCCCCTCCTCCACAACTCCTCGATTCTCACCCACCTGTCCTGTCTTTTAGACTGCGAGCTCTTTGGGGCCCCAGCTGTATCACTGACACCGTGTATGCTGGCCCAGTCTAGCTGAGGTCTCACAGTGGGTCTCCCTTTCCATGAAGTGAGAGGTCTGGGCACCCTGTAAGCCCTGCTGGGATTTCAGTGGTGTGTCAACCTTTGCCTGAAAGTGAATTTCACCCAGTGAGAGGAGTTTTGTCCTCCGAATGCTGCCGTTGCTGACATGAGTTTAAACAGGCCAGGCGTTCTCCTCCCGTCTTTGGGCACCGTTCACTGCCTCCTGCCTGCAGTTCTCCTTAGTGTTGTTAACAGAGCACGTTAAGCTTTTGCTATTGATTTTTTTTTAAGTGCCTTTCCCCTAGAGATATGAAACATTCAGCCATTACCACTGAGAGGAGGGGACATGGTGGAAGGCAGTGGGGGCATTGCTCATACAGCAATGTGTGTTCTCTGACTTCAGTAAGAAACCTGCTGGACTCTCTGCCCCGTTTATTTATCTAGGCATTAGTGCCACGCTTATTGCCATGGCGACTGAGCACCTGATGGGATTAAATATTCCAAAGGCACTCCTGGTGGCTGTTCTGCTGATGGTGTTTTATTGAGGGAAGGCTGCCGAGACCCACGTTCCATCCTGTGGCTTGTCACTCTAATCCCTGTGGGAAGGCACTACCACGCTCACGGTACGACAGCCTCGGAACGTCTCTCCCTGGCTTTGCTCCGTGGTGTTCGTGGCATGGAGCTGTGCTGGAGAAGTCATGGGGAGGAAGAGAGGGAGTTATGTGATGGTGGGTGTCCTGGGTCGTTTTCACGGAAGGCCTCGAATAGCAGGAAAGCAGTGGTGTGAGCAAGTCTTTTGGGGTCATCTGTCATCCTCTGACGTTTCCCATCCTCTGCTGATCTTGGCCATGCCAAGGGAGTACCTGCCACCTCTGTCATCACTGCCCACTCTTCCCTCCTGCAAACTGTGCACCTCTTTGTCAGCTGTCACTCGTCCTAATCCAGCGCTTGCTCTGGGGAGAAACTGGCCTCTGAGCTCAACAGCCCGGGTGTAATTGAAGCTGGCCAGGATACAGGGCAGAGTGTATATGAGAGAGGCTGGGGAGTGTTTCATGTTGCGTATTGCCAGGTGGACTGTCTGCGTCGTGGCATGCTGTGAGGATTGCCTCCTGCCTCTCTGAGGTGTGGAGAGGTGATTAATGCTTGTGCAGCAGAGGAACACAAGTGTGGCCTTCAGTGTATTCCAGCAGCACTAATGAACTTAATGGGCCTCTGTAATTGTTACTTGGTTTTTAAATATTTTAAAACTGTTTTCTTGCTTCCACTGCTCTGTGTGGCTGTGTCTAAACTACATGGCTCCATCGATGGAGCCATGTAGATGAGGGTTGTAGGCAAAGGGAAATGAAGCCACGATTTAAATAATCGCGGCTTCATTTAAATTTACATGGCTGCCGTGCTGAGCCGACAAACAGCTGATCAGCTGTTTGTCTGGAACTGCTGAGCACCCGAGCATCCTATTTTCACACACAAAGGCCCAGCCAAACATGCAAAGGGTATAGCTGGTGTTTAGATTTGGAGGCCTGAGCCAGGTAGCCAATTAGTACCAGGCTCAGGCTACAAGGAGAAAGCCGATTAGGCCTCACTTTAACAAGGACTCTACTTAAATAAGCCAGTCAGTAGCATCATTCAGTCCTCCCCCCGTACTCATACAGGGTACGTCTAAACTACATGGCTCCGTCGACGGAGCCATGTAGTTTAGACGTACCCTGTATGAGTACGGGGGGAGGACTGAATGATGCTACTGACTGGCTTATTTAAGTAGAGTCCTTGTTAAAGTGAGGCCTAATCGGCTTTCTCCTTGTAGCCTGAGCCTGGTACTAATTGGCTACCTGGCTCAGGCCTCCAAATCTAAACACCAGCTATACCCTTTGCATGTTTGGCTGGGCCTTTGTGTGTGAAAATAGGATGCTCGGGTGCTCAGCAGTTCAGTCTGCACCTGTTTTGCATTTGCAAAAATGGAGATAGAGATTTGGAGGCCAGATGAAAGACAAATGAAAACACGTCCTTTAGTTCAGTGGAACCAGCCATGCGCACCTCTGCTTTAGAGAGTATCAGATTAAATGCGGCATAACATTTAGATTTTGTTCTTACTCGTGAGTGAGTGCACATGGGGGTGTGCACACATACCAGACTCCTCCCTCCAAACAGAAAACACCCAAACAGAACCTGAATTATTGTGTCTCCTTCTTTAAATATATATTCTTTCCGTGGCATTGGAAATAAAGTGAAGAAAAGAAACTTTCTCCTGCCATGTTTGCCATTGGCATTGGGCAAGTCACTAGAGCCTTCAAGTGAAACTGACTAAAAGCAAAAGGTGAAAGTAACTGTAAGTTGCAGTTCTATAAACCAGAGCTCTCTGGTCCAGCAAAATCCGTGGTCCAGCAGGACCATGGGTGTTCCAGGATCAGAGTCCTAGCATGATGCTTGTTTTGGGGGATCCTGCATGTGGCCCAGCTGGGCTGTGGAGGGGAGATGGGAAGCCCAGCGCATGGTTCAGCTGGGCTGCAGGGAGAGGGGAAGCGGGAACCAGAAAGGCCAGCACTCAGCCCTACTAGGCTGAGAGGGAGTTTGTGGGGCAGGAAGCCCAGCCTGGGACCCACCTGGGCTGCCGGGGGAGCTGGGAAGCCTGGTAGAGCAGCAGGGCAAGGGGTGAGGCTGGAGGCGGGCAGAAATGACCTCCTCTGGTCCGGCAAAATCCCTCATCCAGGACCGTCTCCTTTTGCTGTCCAAGTGGTGCGAGGTGCAAAACGTTAAGCCAAGAGCATAAAGGGCGAAAGTAAATGAGATTTTAGTTCCTTCTGTTTTATAACAATCTAAATGCCTTTGGTAAAACGGTTGCCGTGACTCTGGGGAGTTAAAATATGGGGTGAAATCCTGGCCCCAGAGGGGAGCTGTAACATTGGTTTCAATGGAGCTGGGATTTCATCCATGCTTTTGCACGTGGAAATGGCTTCTCTCAAAGGAGCAGAGAGCGGTGGCTTTAAAATAATGGTCCTTAAAAAATCAGCAACAACAAACCGTCCGTGGTAGCCGTCCGTGGAAGCTGGATGACATCCCCATCGCCGCCACTTTCTAGAGACCCCGTCCTTCAGTTGAGAATAAATGCCAGATGTGCAGCTTAGATACGCGCAGCTAGGCCCGTAGGCTTCTGTGGGGCTGCTCGCAGGTGTGTAACGAACTGCACATGCAGGACCTAGTTTCTTACCCATTACAAAGATAGCTTCCCCAATTATCACCTCTAATATCATTAACTCACAGACATTTACCTCCTCCTAACCCCATCCCCTTTCTGTTCTGAAATGTGATTTGTCCTTTTCATACGTGCTCATTTTTTTTTAATTGTATCCTTTGGTATATATGGTTGTGCCAATTTTCTTCCACTATTTGATCTGAGGAAGTGGGTCTGGCCCTTGAAAGCTCATCACCTAATAAACCATCTTGTTAGTCTTTAAAGTGCTACATTGTCCTGTTTTTTGTTTCAGCTACACCAGACTAACACGGCTACATTTCTGTTACTAGTTTTATACTGACACTTCTGAAACCAGTTGTGTGTATTCGATCCCCCTGCCCGCCGCCCTCCGTTGCAGGTGCAGTAGGACAAAACCCCTGACTCCTGCCCATGGGAAGGTTTGTGTGCATCCCACAAATATAGACGCATGCAGTGGCTGTTCAGGGATTGATTGGTCATTGGTTTGGGAGGGTGTTAGAGGTTTTTTCCTGAATACGCTCCCCAAAACAACGTTCCACCTGTGGTTATAAAAAATTGTTCACTGTTTGGAATGAAACTACAGTGTCAGGGACGCTGGCTCCAGAGGAATTTGGGGTGGGTGTTTAAAGCTTTGTGCAGATTACATTTGCGTGTAAAAACCTGAAAAAACTTTAAAAACCTCTGGTTGGGCTATTGTCCATGCATGGAGATTTAAAATAATAAAAAGGCACCATCCAAGGCTCTGGGC